AGGAACTTAACAGAGGACCAAGGGGGAGAAGAAGGGGGGAAATGGTGGGGGAAAGGGAGAGAGGCAAACCATGAGAGACTCTTGAAGGCTGACAAAAACTGAGAACTGATGGATGTAGAGGGGAGGAGGGCACTCGTGGGGATGAGCACTGGGTGTTATGTGGAAACTAATTTGACAATAAACTATTTGTAAAAAAAAAAAAAAAGAATAAAAGAGGTTATAAACTTAAAAAAAATATTCTTTCTTTCTCTCTGTCTCTCTGTCTCTGTCTCTCTCTCTCTTTGACCCTCACCTCTACTTGCATTCTCTCTAAAATAAAATGAATAAATAAAACATTCTAGCTGAAGCATTAAAAATTATCTCTACTAAATTATCTTCAAATCTGCATTTAAAAAATATACGAAAACATGGGATATAGCCATAAGTCATTTCTGTACATTCCTAAGTACTTTTTCTCAAGGAATGTCATTTGTATGAACCAAAATAGCCTCTTTTTGTATGGAATGCCATTTTTACTTGAAGGAAAGAATGCCACAGAAACTTGGATTATTTAGACTTGTGTGGGTGGCAGACAGTTTCTTGAAAATGAACATGAGCTTGTCTCTTCAAGAAAATTAACTGACAGATGACAACTGATAGTTACTTGTTGCCTTGATAAAATTTCAGTTCCTTAGACAAAACCAGAATATTGGAGAACTGTGTACTACCAGTAAGGTTAACAGGTTCCCAGTACTGACAAACTTTTCTGCTGGGTCCTATGTTAATATTAAGACCAATGTGATTTTTAAAAAATAATTTGACTCCAATGTAACCAATACTGGAAGATCTATATAATTTAATGAAACAAAGCCTTTCTTTAAAATCATTAATTAGGAGAGACTGGGTGGCTCAGTCAGTTAAGCCTCTGACTTTGGCTCAGGTCATGATCTCAAGAGTTAGAGGTCCACATTGGGCTGTCTGCTGTCAGCACAGAGACTACTTAGGGTCCTGTCTGCCTATCTCTACTCCTCCGCTGTGCTATCCTTCTCTCTCTCTCTCTCTCTCTCAAAAACAAACATTAAAAAAATAAGTAAATAAAAACATTTAAATTAAAATTACATTAAAATGATAATAAAATAAATAAAAATCATGAATTACTACAAGATCCAGACAAGGAGCAAGATAAGCCTATAGATTTCAATATAATAGAATGAGAAATACTCATTGATACTTTTTCAGATTCCACTTTGCAAATAACCTTTGAGAAAGTATGACTTGTGTACTTTTTATTATCAAAGGTGAATATCCACAATTATCTGAAAAGGTATTAAAATACTACACCTACATATTTGTGCAAGGCTGTATATTTCTTCATATACTTCAACAAAAATAACAGATTAAATGCAGAAGCAAATATGAACATCTGGCAGTCTTCTAATATGATAGACACAAAAAAAATACCTGCAAAAACGCAAAGTATACAAAGATCCAATCTTTTCACTGCCCTGTTTATTTTGGGATGTAGTTATTTTTCATAAAAATAATTATTTACTTAACATACAATGGCTTATTAATATCATTCAAAATGAATTCATAAAAATTATTTTAAACCTGTTTTATTCCTACTATGGTAAACACTGATAGATATAACCCACATACACAAAATTATCCTGTTGTAAGACTGTATAGATAGCCTGAAAATAAAATGACTGAGAATTACTGACTCAGTAGGGAGACAATGTGACAAGAACACTCCCTGCCGGGCAAAAGGTGTCAAAGACAAAGTCCGAAATCCCTAGGCCTGTCTCTCAGGGTCTCAGGCCCTAGGGCGGTGTCGGGGGTGGGGAAGCCCAGTGTGGGGAATCCCTATCTCCCCTGGTTTCACTTCTCCCCGTCGCAGCCTGTGTCAGTTCCTCCTGACTGGATACTCATGATTCGGTCCCAGTTAACTCTCCCATTGGGTCTCGGATTTCTAGAGAAGCCAATCAGTGACACCATGGTTCCGGGTTATAGTGTAATCACTGGAAGGGCGGAGACTTAGGTTTGACGCAAAACAAGTGGATGTCAGTCTTGCATCCCGGAACCCTCCTCCTGCTACTGTCGGGGACCCTGGCCCTGACTGAGACCAGAGCAGGTGAGTGCAGGGTCAGGAGAGAAAATGCCTCAGCGTGGGAGGAGGCAGGGGACCGCTAGACGGAAGGGATGTCCGCCGCCTCGGACGCAGAGCTCTCACCTCCGTCTCGCCCACCCCTTGGTCCTGACTCTTCTCCAAACTGCCACTCCTCTTCCGTCCCACGAGTCCCCTCGCCCCCTGCCCTCCCAGACGCCTCCACCTGGGACCCGGGACCCGCGCCAGGAGGATGGGGCAGGGTCTCAGCCCCTCTGCGCCTGCAGGCTCTCATTCCCTGAGGTATTTTCACACCACAGTGTCCCAGCCTGGCCATGGGGAACCCCGCTTCATCTCTGTGGGCTACGTGGATGACACTTGGTTCATGCAGTTTGACAGCGATGCCCCGAGTTCGAGAATGGAGCCGCGGTCGCTGTGGGTGGAGCAAGAAGGGCCCGAGTATTGGGAGCAGCAGACGCAGGACTTCAGGACCTACACACAGACTCTTCAAGTGAGGCTGAACGAATTGAGTGACCACTACAGCCAAAGCAAGGCCGGTGAGTGACGTGTGTCCGGGTCCAGGTCATGAACCCCGTCCTCACAGACGCGCTGAGGTCGCCCCGAGTGTCTGGGTCCTAGCGTCACGCCGAATCTACGGAGCGCCCCC